GACAGACACCCGATCCGAAGAAATGGAGGTCAAAATCCCGCTGGTGCCCGCGGTGGAGCGCCCCGAGCACGAAAATCCGCGCGCAATACCCCAAAGACTGAAGACGCCGTTGATCCAGTGTCGGAAATTTGAGGCAAGTCAGGATCGAGATATTCCTGACTGCCTACCTTCGGACAAGTCGCCGTCGGACAAGTCGCCGTCGGAGATTCGACCGATAGATCTAGCGTCTGTCGCAAGTGTCGCAAGTGAGGAGTCGGATCTGTCGTCTATCGCAGACGAAGACTCTATATCACATGCCGTAACGGTCAAGGAGACGCTAGAAGATCTCGATCAAGTGACGTCAGACGTATGGGCGACTAATCCGTTGTTGGAGGAAACTACAGGCGTAGGGGAAAGCGAGAAGAGGAGGACCGAGACGGAATTGGGGTTACCAGTTAGGATCGGCTACATTCGAGAGAGAAGTCAAGATCAAGGAACATCACCGTCGAAATGCGGCGGATCGGATCTGCCATCAATGATGAGTGTACAATCTGGGACTGGACATGTGACTGGTGATCCGTTGAATGACAAGCGCGCCGCATCTATGTCGAAAAAAACGGACATGGATCCATCTCCTGTTGTTGAAGATCGACCAGGCACATCGGATCTGGACCTCACCTGGGACTCAGATCAAGATTATGATGAATGTGTATACTGCCATGAAGGAAGTGATCTGGACGCGGAAGATGTCGATGGTCAGATGGCGGTACTGCCAGAAGTGCCCGTGACGACGGAAGATGTGAGGATCGACGACATTCAGCTATGTGGATCTGATAATCAGACCCCAGAGGAAATTGATCGACTCCGCCAAAGGATCTGGAAGTTCCGACATCTCTTTATCGGCAAGGGAAATGCCCTTCCGCCGGCGGCTAGAGGTGTGGTGCGCGATATCGATGTCGGGGGAGCGAGACCAATCGCCCTCAAGTGTCGTAAGCTGCGGATCCAGTTCAGGGAGAAGCTGGCGGACTTGATCAAGGGTCTATTTTCTGCCAAGATGATCAACTACTCTAGATCACCATGGGCTTCCCCGATCGTAGTGATCATTAAGAAGAATGGGGTGGATATCAGGCTATGTATTGATTACCGGTTGTTTAATAGCCTAACACAACTGATGGTATACCCAATGCCCTTGATAAACGATCTACTCGAAGATCTGGAGTCGACACTTTGGTACTGTTCTTTGGACATGGCGAGCGGATTTTGGGTAGTGAAAATGACGGATCGTGCCCGCTTGATCTCGGCTTTTATCACTCCTTTTGGATTATTTGAGTGGAATCGGATGCCTTTCGGCTTGAAGAATGCGCCCCAGATCTATCAACGGATGATCAACAACGCGCTATATGGATTCACCGGATCCCGAAGTCTGAGGATCAGGGAGGTACTTTGGATGTGTTTGAGGACGGGGAACCGGTGGATCCAGGCAAGCCATCGGCGCTTGGGCGTACATCATATATCGACGGCATTCTGATTCCAGCCAATAACTGGGATCAACTATTTGATCGAGTCGAAGGTTTACTCAAAGCGTGTGATAAGTGGAATGTGTCGATCAGTGTGGTCAAGGGTTTCTGGGGAATGCCTAAGGTGGAATATCTGCGTCATAAAGTATCCCACAATGGACTGGAGGCGATTCCGAAAGGTCTGTCGGCGCTGACGGATCTAGCATCCCCTGGATCACTTCGAGCCATGCAGTCATTTTTGGGAAGTCTGAATTATTACAGCCGATTTATTGAAGACTATGCGATTTATGCATCAGTACTGAATGAATTGCGAGAAATTGACTTAGCTCGATGATGAACGACACCACCCAAGCGCAGATCTAACGGATACTAGAGGTGGTGAGAGTGGATCAAGGATCACAAGAAGATCAAATGATCGACCACCGGAAGACTTTGGATCTGGAGGCGCCAGATCCTGCCGAGGTGGATCCGCGTTGGATCAATGCACATAGATCTGTGACGATGTGGATTACAATTTTGAGAGATGGAGAGACGAGGACGTGGAATAATGTGCCGATTGGTTAAGATGAATGAGTCCAGAGCTGACATCTGCGTGAGGTATGGAGAGAGGCAGTTCCAGAGTGAGGAAGAGCTGGCAGTCGTGCGGTCAAGGAAGGGACCATAGGCTCGGAAGTGGTTATCCAGGATAAATGGTCGTCCAGGATAGATGGCCACCCAGGATAAATATCCATCCAGGGTGAATGGACATCCAGGATTGAGAACCATCCAGGATGAAATGAACCACTCGGTCCGAGCGACAGGTACCCCAGGAAGGGAGAAGAGCGCCCTGAAGAACGTATCTCGGGCAGCCACCTGTCCTGACTTGAGCCGCCCTGGTGTTACAGTAACCAACCTCGACTACGAATGTGTCAACGAGTGCCTCAGAAGTGTCGCCAAGTGATGTATGATGAATAATCACCAGGATCAACCATGATGACGAAGGCCATCCAGGATCGATGAGAGTTCGCCCTGGACGACCAAGTGCAGATGTGGTCGAGCAGCAAGTGTGGAGTGTTTTACAAGGATCCGAGTGCTGGTCATCCAGGATGAAGCCGCCCTGGATGAATCGCCCAGGATCAAGACTCACACAAGTCAGCTCGTTACGACGTACATACATCGACCGACACGCAAGGTCTGCGGGAATCGTCAACATGTGATGT